GTCCCCCGAATTTGAAGAGGGCAGGCGACCCCTAATACGCCACATGACTGGCCAGTTCCATGGGGCTTACCTATTAACCGCGGAGCGTTTTTTCTCCCAATTGGCGCTGCTGAATCACTCGGCATCTACCACATCGGTGGTCCCTTACTCGCAAATGCCTCTCGAGCAAAGGATCTCGGCGTGATCGTGTCCTCTAACCGAACAACCCACGATACGCTGAAAAAGGTCGCTACAGCAAACAGGATGCTTCGGTCCATAAAGTCATTCTCTCGGATGACTCCTGATATTTTCAAACTTCTGTTTGTCTCATATATGGGCTCCATCCTCGAGTATGTTTCACCGGCAAGTTACCCACGCATTAAATTCGTGTGTGATTTGATTGAAAAAGTTCAGAGGCGAGGTTCAAAATCAATTCCTGTGCTTGGAAACTTGTTTTATTCTGATCGTGGAGATCTGATTTACACGAAGCGCACAGTCAGAGATGACTGGGGTAGCGAGCTCCAACAATTCTAGCAGCTCTAGAGAAATATCTCGACACACGGGCACAACTAGAAAATCTTTAAACCGAGGAAGACCCACGTCCGTTCACCCGAGCGGTGAACGACTAGAACAAATTACCGGATGATGTGGTCAGTGCTGCTACTGAGAAATGTTTCAACAAGTCGTTGGATTTACACATGCTTAATGTGTCGGAGTCTTGCTGTCATCCGTGAAATTGCGCTCACCTGTGACATGCTCACTGATCGGAAAGTGATGAAGCTGAGAAGAGTTATCCCATCTACTTTCTATTATGCAATGTATTTCAATGTAAATTGGACCAATTCCAGAGTGTATCAAATGCACTCTGCAAAACCTGGAAGTCACTCGGGTCACTGACCGTGCCACAGAACTTAAAGTCATCTGCAAACATGAGACGACACCCGTCTCTCAGGTAAGTCATTAACACAACGTGAACAACAGTAGACCAAGGACGAAGCCCTGCAGAACACCACATAGAACCAAGTGTCGAGAGGAGAGGCTCGATCCCACCAGAACACACATCCCGCTACCTACTAGAAATGCCATCATCCACTGTAGCACTTGCCCGGAGATACCGTATGACCGCAGCTTACACAACAGGCGGGAATGTGGGACGGTGTCGAAAGCTTTGGCAAAGTCAATGAAAAACACATCGACCGCCCAACATTCCCGAGAAAACAACAAGTTAGTAAGGCAAGAGTAGCCTTTACGAAAACCATGCTGAGACGAACTTAGAAACCGTGCCAGCACATGGAGCATATCTTGGACGAAATACGTAACTAACGAACACCAATGTTCAAGTTCAAGTGGGACTGGAACGATAGGATTATCCCATTAGTGTTCCTTCTTCAGCGGGTCGTTGAGCCAAAAGTTGGCGAACTTTGAAATACGGATGAACTTAAAACAAAACCGCATCACACCCTGTCCACGCAATTAATGCTCACGTATCCTACCCTAGGAGCCCCTGCTGGGCCGGTTACGTGAAGTAAGAAAAAGCAAAAAAGTAAACTCAGAGGGCAAGAGGAAAGATCTAAACAAGTAGAACACCAAGATATCTGAGTCATTAAAAAAGAACTGAAAACAGGTGAGTCAGTTAGGAAAAAGGAAAGATCTGGTGTTGCTACCAAAGAACGTCGAGTTGACGCACAAAACACTTAATCGTAGATTTCCTAACCACATGAACTGGAACCGAATTCCAGAGCTCCATAACTCGGCGCGACAGACGAGTTTCGTCCTAATTTGATCAGACCGTGGTTTATGCATCTTCAATGGGTGACCGCGGAAATTAGGTAACTTAGCGGGACTAAATAGCCCAGACAAGTCCGGGCCGATCTTACCCGTCAAAATGCGATAAGTGAGAATCAAGTCCCCTCTTATCCTTTCGGTAGTGCATGGAGTACATCCCCAAACTAAGCAAGCGTTCAGAATACGTCTGTCCCCGTAGACCCTGCACTAACCTAGTACCTACTCGTAACAACCTCTCCAAGTCCATTTTGTCTCGGATAAGGCATGGTAAACAAGCCTGGATACAGTATTCCAAGTGGGATCGCAGAAATGCCGAGAAAAACTTCACAAAGATATTGGCCGTTAGAACTTCGAAAGAGCGGCGGATAAAACACATCACACTAAACCCCCAACAAGCACATTTCTTCCAAATGTCGCCAGAAAAAAGAGCTGATGAGTGGACGACACCTAAATCAACCTGCTGAGTGACAACTTGGATTTCACCACCACCGAAAATACATCGAGTGGGAGAACTAGCGCATCCGGTTCGGAGAACAGAGCATTTGGTCCCATTTATGGGCATCAAGTATTCCCAGAGCCTATCAAAAGCACACTGAATTGCCTCAGGACCCCCGGGATATCTACAATATTCCAGAGTTTAAGGGACTCGCCTGCAAGACTCGAGCACTGTGCTCACTCTGCGATCCCCTTCAGGGGACGCAAGCAGTATTTTCTCCTTGCGCCTATCCGGTGACGATGCAGCTTCGAGCACCGGCCAAGCCGGTGTTGGTATTGCCCTGAATCCCCGGGCTGAAGCTGAAGCAGAGGAATGAAGGCCCTCACTTCGGAGCTGGCCTCGGTTGGAGCTTCACGACTCCCTGGTTGGGGTCCAAAAGACAGTGAACACGTTTGGCTGGATACACTTGCTGATATGGCAAGGAGCCGACCTCAGTGGCGTTCCTGCTGTGAGTTTCTTTGTCCCTCCCCATCCCTTTAGCCTCCCCCTCCATCTACGATCTTATTTCGTAGGGTAAAACGTAATTAAATTTTTGTTTTTGTCTAGTAGCCGGCTAGTAGCTTACCGGAACGATGCGTATCCGTTGCTGGTAGCTCAGCTGGCATTCAACTGTCGTATTTATTTTTCCTTTATGTATTGTATGTATGTATGTATTTCCTTTATGTATTGCGGTACAATAGCGGAGGTGTCTTACCATCTCTAGCTGACATGTATAATGATGATGATGATGATGATGATGAGAGTTGAAGGTCGTCAATAAACATTAATGATGACGCCCCTAGCTCCCCCGGCAAGTCACTTGCATAGATCACGAACAACAATGGCCCCAATACTGAGCCCTGCGGAACGACACTACGGACAGTTTGCCTAAGCGAAAGGCTAGGCCCCACGCGCACACATTGTCCCCTCCCCTCCAGCAAAGCAGACGCCCATTTAAGGGCGCGACCAGATAGGCTGTAAGATCCCAACATTGGTGAGAGTTTAAGATAAGGATAAGAGTTTAAGGGTAAAAGTTTAAGATAAGGATGTCAAAAGCTTTCGAAAAGTCCACGAATAGCATGTCTGCAGTGTGGCCACTGTCTACCGCTTCGGCCCAGCTTTCACGAGCTACAAGTAAATTAGTCTGACACGAAAATTCCCTGCGGAATCCATGTTGAGCAACACAGGTGGTTCTCCACCGAATCCCTTGTCAGCTTTTCAAAAAAACTTGAGTACTACGCTTGTCAAACTGACAGGCCGGTAGTTCGCGGGCAGAGCGATATCAGCGCCCTTAAAAATCGGACAGATGGTTGCGTACTTCCATGCCGAAAGTAAGACGCAGTTGTCAAACGATACTGAAAACACGCATGTGAGAGGACTAGTCAGCTCAGTGGCAAATTCATGCAACAGCTACGGATAAATTGAATCAGAACTGGAAGCTTTAGAGAGAGTAATGCCTTGCAATAGCTCGAAGACCTAAGTCTTCTTTATGTTAAACTCAGCTAAGCAAGGATCTGCTGGAGCTCTTGAAACCAATTCAACATGTGGTAGAGAGATCTTCCGAGCAAAGAGCCCAGCATAATGCGCAATATGTATACAAGCTTTGTCACAGTCAGTTTGCGCACAGGTCCCGTCTGCTCGCAGTAACGCTTGTATAGACAATTTTGCCCCTCTGCGTCTTTTAACGTAGGCAAGAAACCCCTTGGGATTAGCTGCGGCCGAGTCCGCTAAACCCTGCTCGTATTGGAGACAAGCAGTCCTGATATGTTGCTTACACTTATTTCTAATCTCTCGATAACTGTCAGGGGAATTGGCTAATGGAGCTACTTGGTAGGTTCGCCAGCATCTAGACCGTTTCTTGAGTGGGTACTAGCCTGTGGCATCTATCCATAGAGGCTGTGCCCGTAACCCATTTCCTGTTGATTGGAACATAAAATGTGGAAACTTCCGTAAGGTATGCCTTAAATTTATCCCAGGCTAACTGGACAGAGTCGAGCATCGAGATCTCACGGTTCAGAACTGAAGCCTTGGCTCGCATTCCACTAAAGTTCGCCAGCCAAATATATGGAAGTAATTCAACGGCGACCTGTTGGTGCCTTGAAAGAGCAAACCGAAAGGATATGCATGCATAATCGCTGGACCCTAGACGTACACCGTAAGAAACGTGCTACAAAGTCGAGGGACCTAGAGAAAACCAGATCGAAAGTAGATGGTATTTGGTTGCCCATATACTTAGTGAGGAAGTCCACGAACTAGTGCAAAGGCACTTGGAGAGTCAGCTCAAGAAAGTCTGCACCAAATGTTCCTGACGCACGATAGATCGACCCAACCGACTTTTGGGTAGCTGAAATCCCCTAAAACTAACCACTTATTCGCAGATTGAGGGGGAAATAAAGTCAATTATCCCCCTGGAGGAACTTTTAGGACTCCTATACATCACTACAACAGTAAACTGGGTAGAGGAAGTGCGCATAACAGCCGATAGGGCTTTGTGGAGGATCGTTATCTAATAAGTTCGAGTGCGGAGGCGAAAGACAATCATTGGAATGTAGAGAGCAGAAGGAAAAAATCCTTTGTCAGCTCCATCGCCTCCCGTTCTTCACAGGGATCAAGGTGGATATTACAAGTCGGTATCAAGGGAACCGCTGCATTGACACAAGAAGCAACAAGATCCGAGTTTACTCAATAAGTAAGAATCCAATCGATGTTTGAAACATTCCTTCAACTGCGCATCAACGACATACACAGGTGGATTATTCCACTCGTTCACGACTCTGGTAGACAGAGTGACGGCACAACAGACCCGAAGTCTCATTTAAACAATTTCCAATGGTGGCCCCGAGTCGAACTGAAGGAATTGAGTGGAAATCCTGCAGTTCAGCTCCAAGCTCACCCCCAACGATACGTCGCGTGAAAATCAAATCCCCGATATCTCGACGATAAGCTAAGGAGGACAACTTCATGCGCTGAAGACGATGTAAGGCAGGTTCCGTAACTTCAGTATGGATTTAAATCCTCTCCGCTGAACCTTTTTAATCAGGTTGCATTCAAATTTGGAAAGAGGATAGGCAGCAGGTATTCCATTCGCAAGAATCAGTCGTACATGAAGAGTGAACACGAGTCTGAAGATCGGAGTCAACCGGGAGAAGGATGGTCGTACGGCGAAAAACAACTCGTTGGCAGAAGCGACTTTCCTTGAGGTATCTTCAGTCGATTTTAGGTCTGGGGTCACAACGATGCCAAGGTCCCTCTCACGATCAGAGTTTGGCAGCAAAAACCCACCGATATAATAATTCCAAATGGTTCGGACGCACCAATCGGTAGAACGGAACATTTATCGTGATTTATGAGTAACTGGACCTGATCGACCAATCATGCAGCGAATCGAGCCTTGTTTGTAGTACATCAGCTTCATCCACACAGGCGACTACCATGCATAGCTTTAAATCACCTGCGTAAATCAATCTGCCGGTAGTATAGACATCAGGTCATTAATAAAGACTTTAAAAAGTTCAGGACCAAGAACAGAGCCTTGCGGAACACTGCTGGTTATATTTACTGGGAAGGAAATAGACTCATTTATTTTCACACGGAAAACGCAGCCATGCAGGAAATCAGTGAGCCAAGGGAGGATTTTTCCGGAAACACCAATAATGCGAAGTGGGCTTAGCAAAATTTTGTGTAGAACCTTGTCGAAAGCTTTACTGAAATCCACAAATACGACCCACCCGCTTATGAGCATCCGTGGATTTAGCCTTCTTTTCTCGAGCTATCAGAGGAGTGGTGACACATGAACGCGAACGACGGATTCCATGCTGCGCAGGTGAAATGATCTTGAGGTTCTGGAAAATGCAGGTTGAGAGTTCGCTTGAGAATCATCTAAATAAACTTGCAGACAACATATGTTAGACAGATGGGCCGATAATTTGTAGGATCTTGTCGATTTCCGCCTTTGCAGATGGGCGTGACTATGCCCAAGTTCCAGGCAAGCGGAAAACGCCCGGCCTCAAGTGAGCGCCAAATAAGTGACAGATAGGTACAGCAATATATTCGGCCACAATCTTGAGGAAACAAGGATGCAATCCATCAGTTTCCGGGGAAGATATTGGATCCAGTTCGCATAAACGTTTGAGTACTATACTTTTATGTCTTATCACAGAGGACAGAGAGCAAGGACGAATAACCATTAACTAACAGCACCTCTGTTGTATAGACCATGGTTGCAAACCCGTGCGGAAAGCGACGTCCAGTTGAGCGTACTGGTTCATTGAAATATTTTGATCCGAAGAAGACGAATCAAGCTCGTTTTGGTGACTCGTCTGTTTACTATTTGGACTTCATCTGCTATGACGCCCAAATGCTTGTCATGTTAATTCGCGCTCTAAAGCCTTGCAGTGCACCATCTGCGATGGGTGGACACACAGCTTGCTGTGGAGTCGGCCATGATTTGTATGAATTTCTCCTGCGATCCAACGTTCCGGGCTTAGGTTTCTTTTGCGATCTGTGCCGTGTTACGATAAGCAACAGACGATGCCTTGATGGAGTGCCTGAGCTCAGTCCACTCACCTCTCCTGCTCAAACTGAGGTGAACATCGCTGCTGTCTCGCTACCAACTCCTTGCCTTATCACATGCGTTTCTGGCGCAACTACCCTAACGGGTAAGCGTAGTCGAGCACCGTCCACCACATTTAGAGACGCTGGCGGTTATTGACCAGAGCGAAGAGCCTAAGATCAATACGTACGCAGAGGTGGTAAAGGAAAACGTACGAAATGTTGAACGCAAAAGCAAGACAGGAATAAGTCATCATCATCTCAGTCGCAGCTGAATTTGATTCTCGATAGTCAGTCAACTGGAGAAACTGCTTAAGGACGGCCCCGCTGTTCTGAAGCCGAAGATCCATGAGAATGCCACATCGCCATCTCGCGACCGCTGCCTTATCATCGTGAATTCAGCCGAGTCCACCAAGGCTACCCCAGCTGAAAGGATTGTAGATGATCAGGAGTTCCTACAACGGATGATCTCTTTACTGTTCGATGAAGGGGAACAAGGAATCAACATTGTTTCTGCTTTCCGCCTCGGCAAGAAACAGGAGGACTCCTCAAAGGTTCGTCCACTTAAAATTGTATGTCGAAATGATGGCGAGGCCCGTCGCATTCTTCGACGAGCTCCGCGACTTAAAGGTGAATCATTTTATGTATTACGAGATCTTTCCCCTGAGGATCGAGTGAGAATGAAACAAGCGGTTGACGAAGTCAGATCCGGTCGAGACAATGGTGAGACAGATTTACATATTGTGGATTTTCACGTAGTCCGAAAAGCTACCAAAATTCGCTGGAAACCACTTCTTGTCATACCCAGGCGTTAGAGGTGAGGAACGGATTGCGCGTAATTTTCGCTAATGTGCGCAGTATTCGAAACAAACTCGATGAAATTCAATCTTTTGCCTCAGCGAATCATCCTGACATAATGGCTTTCACCGAGACCTGGTTGTCCGCGGATATCCTGGACTCCGTGGTGCAGATCCCCGGGTATCACCTCTGCCGGGCTGACCGCAAAGGAGGGAGATCTGGTGGCAGTGTGATCCTGTACTGGAATGCAGACTTCAAGGCTCATCTGGTTGAAGCTACTTGTGATGGTAATGGTGGTTTCGAAGCCCTGTGGTGCCCGGTTCATGATGGATGCAGATCTCTGATGGTCGGGCTTGTCTACAGAGCTCCATTGGGTTCCGGAGCTCGGCTGATGGATTCAATTAAAATGCATGGTGGGGGAAAGGACTGTGTACTATTGGGAGACTTCAATACCCCAAGTGTCGACTGGGATTTGCTGCACTGTGCTACTTCTTCAGACGTTTTCGCTGCGGACTTTTTGGAAACCGTTCTCGAGTGTAACCTATTTCAACATGTTACTGTGCCTACCCGTATATTTGTCGGACAAACCCCCCATATTCTTGATCTTGTGCTTTCCCCGGCGCAATCAGATGTCGCAGACATTATCACTCTTCCGCCTATTGGTAATAGTGATCACTGTATGGTTTCATTCCTCTGGACTCGACGCCTCACTCTTCACAACCAAGATAGTTTTCGCAGGAATTTCTGGCGTTCCGATCCAATCCGCCTGCAAGCGGCCGGTAGCAGTGTAGACTGGAATATCCCTCTATCTTCGGACCCAGATGAGGAGTGGAACCTTTTGTACTCCAAGCTGACTTCTCTTGTTGAGCAGGTTGTTCCTATTTGCAAAAGGCGAACGTTTACCAGAAACCCTCCGTGGATAGACCGATAATTGAAGAAAAAAGGGACAAGAGACCGATAATTGAGGTGCTTAATGTCCAAAAGACGTAAATTATGGGACCGATTCAAGCTTACTCACTGCGCGCTTGACTATTCGGAGTACAAATTGATCAGAAACGACTGTATCTTGAAAAAACGTCAGAAACGGCATCAGTATGAACGCAGTTTGGCTGTGCAATCCAGGACGACATCGAAGGCACTGTACTCTTACTTGAAAAGAAGTACCAAAGCTGGCAGTGGCATTCCTGTCCTGTTTTCTGCAGAGCAGGGCGGTTTACTTGACGACGATGGGACGAAAGCCAGTTTACTGGCCCTGCAATATTCATCTGTTTACTCGATAGAGACGCCGTTGCTCGATGACACCGCGCCAATCCACCCCTCTTCGTTGCAGCACATACAAATGAGTGTGGCTGACGTGGCCAAAGGTTTTCGTGAATTAGATCCGAACTCCTCGCCGGGTCCTGATGGACTGCATCCGCTGTTCCTCAAGACTGTGGCAGACTGCATTGCTGCTCCCGTCTGTCAGATATTTCGTCACTCCCTGGAAGCTAGACGACTCCCGGTTGCTTGGAAATTGGGGACCGTTAAACCTATATATATATATATAATATATACATATTTGCAAAAGTCTGTTAACAGACATAATGCCATCAGAAACCATGGGATTCAAACGAAGGTACAGAAACAGTAAAATAAAATACAACACAACAATGTCCATGGTTTCCTCAGAGGGCGAGATGCTACCCGGCTGCCCAAGCCGAAGTAGGGTGTTGACTTAGGGGACACCACCCCGAGCCTTTGGCTGAATAGCCTGCCCGCAAGGCAGCGGAGCGAATTCAGGGAATCGCGCCCAATGGGAGCCGGTGACTGATTGCTCAGTTCATACGCCTTTTGTTTGTTCTTTTGTCAAACTGGGGCCCAATGCTCCCCAGAAGTACAGCATAAGGTTGCTGGAATACAATGCTTCGCCAGAATGAAGCAAGGGGCAGTGACTTTATTTAGTGGCGAGTCACGTCCGCCACGTCACAGTGTTGTTAAACGGACATATGTGGCTTTTTATAGGGAGAACGCTTGCCAGGCGAAAACCCACCACGTCCTGGAACACTGCCGCCGAACCATTTGCTGGAACGGGAAAATCCCGAACCACCCAGCTGGCACCACGAGGAGGTTGTTCGGCAAGCCAGCCGTTAAACCTATATACAAGGGAGGGGATCGTCAAGATCCTGCAAACTATCGACCTATCTGCCTAACGTCCGTACTATGCAAGTTAATGGAAAGGATTCTCAAGCGCGCCCTGCAGCTTCACTTCGAGAACCTTAACATCATCTCCTGTGCCCAGCATGGCTTTCGGCGGGCACGCTCATGTACCTCGAATCTGCTTGTTGCTAGGGAAAACTGAGCGAAGTCGTTGGACGCTGGGACACGATAGGATTTGGCTTTTGTAGACTTCAGCAAGGCGTTTGACAAGGTCCCCCTTGAAAGGCTCCTTCTTAAACTCCGAGGTACCGGTGTCTCTGGGAATGTCCTCGCTTGGATCGCTGGTTTTTTGATTGGCCGGACCATGCGAGTCAAGGTGAATGAAGCCTACTGCACTCCTGTGCTGATGACTAGCGGTGTTCCGCAAGGGTCAGTACTTGGTCCAGAACTGTACAAGATATGCATCAATGACCTCCCATCGGAGCTTCAAATGGATTGCCTGATTTACGCCGATGACATGAAGCTGTGGATGGAGGTATCCTGTCTTGACGATGTTGACGGATTGCAGGCATTATTGGACATTCTACACGACTGGTCAGCCAACTGGCAATTGCCCATAAATTGTGAAAAATGCTCAGTTCTCCTCCTAGGCGTCCTCGAACCGTTCGGGATATACCATATTGGTGGGGTGTTACTCAGAACCACCATTCTTGTAAAAGATCTCGGTGTGCTTGTCTCACATGATTTACGGACCGCAGAAGACACACTACGGAGGGTTGCCGCTGCCAACGGGATGTCCCATGCCATACGGAGAGGCTTCTCGCGACTGACTCCGGATATCTTCAGAATCCTGTT